TTTTCACGGATGTAGTCATCTACATCCAACCAAACGCCATTTGTGCCACTTACGGCTGCCGTGGATTGTGAAACCACGCCAGCAATAACTTGGAAGGCGAATAGTGCGCTGATAACTCGTTTTGCAAACATCTTGGAAACCAACTATGAAATCTATTGAGTTCGCGTGCTTTATATAGCAAGATCTTGATCTATCTACTTGTAAATTACTATGTTGCTTCTAAAACTTAATATAACGGAGTTTTCTCGAATGATGAAATACTTTCCATTATATTGATTATAATAAATGAGCAAATGTTTACCTGAGCGCATTTAAAAAAACGGACAGCTGCTGTTTTATCAATGAGGATATTTGTTTAGCTACTTAAATATGTGTATAACACTTATCCATACAAGCAGTTTGTTGATTCAAAAATCATTTGAATAGCTCAATATCGGTAGGAATAAAGCAACTCAAATACTAGTGATAACATAAATATTAATAGAAACACGTGGCGTTTTCAACGCTTTAGAACAAATGAGGCATATTCTGCTGACATAAGTAGTTGTATATATTTATGCCTCCTTTTCTAAAACTTTCAGTAAAAATGAAGTGGGACAGATAGGCTTAAAGGATTTTGGATTCAGTGGGTACTACTTTACGCCGCTCGGCATGGATACTACTTCCGATCTTCTCGACGCGTTTGATGTTCGAGTATTATCCAATGCTCTGCTACTTCTATCGTGTTTATTTAAAGAGTTATGTTCATTCTCCTTTTTTCTTTGCAATAGCTTTTCACTGCTTGTTTTTCACATCTTTATGAATCTTGAGTAGCGTCAATTCTTTCAATCGCCCTTTTTTAATCCTGTTGCGCAGATTTGCTTTTCTTCTTCGCAAAGTTGAAAATAATCGTTCGCTTGTTGCAACTATAACCTACAGCGTAGCACCAATTCGCAGAAATCGGTGTATGCGTTCATGAAATTGTCTATCGCAAATATCCAAAGCTTCGACAAACGTTTTTGGTCCGTCCGTTGAAGAAATAGTTGAACAAAACCTGAAACCAAACACAAATTGGATATGAGACATCTTCACGTTAAATTTCAACTCTTCAATGAATTCAGGAAAAAGAAGCTAACGAGGTTGGTCTAGCGGTAAACGAGGATAAGACAAAGTACCTCTTGGAACCACATAAAAAGTCTTCGCATATTGCGACTCAGCGAAGTATAGTCTTTCACTACTTAGGAGCCAGCATAAACACCACCAATAATATCAGCATGGATAAAGCGAAGAATAACTCTTGCCACCACGTGCGCCTTTGGGTTCGGAAGGCAATCGAAAAGCAGAGCAATCCTTCGAGTGTATTTCCGCCATGAAAAACAGCTTCTCATTAAAATACAATCGCCGTTCGGAGTCGACGTAAAACTGTAGGTCCCTCCTCTTTGTGTGACAACATCAAGGCGCACGCCACAAATCGGAAGAGAAGCTTGGCCAAACACTAACATATGCGAAAGCGCCAATCAATTATTACTATTAAACTAGCAGAGCCGACGAACTTCGTCCCGCCCAAAATTAATTTTTTGTATTGAACTATTTTGGTTCAACATTTTCACCAACAAACAGTTCACGTTCATGATTTTTAGTGACGCATTTATCTTCTAATATTACGGTTTGGTGGTTGTCAGAAGGCCATCCATTGCCATCTTTAATAACCTAGCAAAAGTATATATGCGTACAAAGATACGTAATAGCTTCAGTAAGTTTGAAAGGTGTCACGCCCTCTTATAAAATAGCCTCAATTTTCTCTAAAAGTATGGGTTTGATTTCATATATGTATCTCCATACCATGTTCGAGCACTCTACCATGAACACTTCCAGATATATTCAGTATGAAAAATCCGGTTTGGATGCGAGGTGCCACGGCTCCTGCACCTAGCGGTATGAAATGTACTTTACATCCGATTCTCATACCTACCATACATGCACAAAAAAATTCATAAAGATCTGTCGAGCAGTTTAGGAGTAGTTCGACCACTAACACCGTGACACGAGACTTTTATATATTAGATTAGTTAAGCGCATAAAAATACAACGACTGCGCTGGCTTGGATATGTTGTACGCATGGTTGACGACGCTTCTGTGGAAAGACTTATCCGCATTTGGGATGAACAACTGGCGCGCAGGAGAGAGGCAACTGGCGAAGTTTCTTGGTTTCGGCCCAAAACGACAAACTGTTGTAATGCCAAATCAGAAGAAGAAGAGTGATTTAAGAACGGCCATACTTGCCGAAAGACATCAACAACGTTTCTGTCCAAATCTACTCCATTAAGTTCTAGACATTTTGTTGGAATTACGTTTTGTATTTCGGACAGTAGTTCCCTGTGTTCTATAAATCTTAAATCAAGCTCTTTTAAATGCTGAACCAAGAATTCGGCATTTCCAGTGTAGTTGCTCCCTACCAATAGCATCTGAAATTTGAGATGCTGATTCAAAAATTTCATTGAATCTGTCGGCAGCTTACTTAGTTAAGCATCTGAGTTTTGCTTTATTTCCAAAAAAGGTTGGAAATAAAACAAATTTTGCCTTATTTTCCATTGCTTATTTATGCTATTTGTAACAAAAACAGTTTACTGGCAGAAGGAAAAAGAACTTACTTTATTCCAAAAATACAAATAAACAAATATTTTTACTTATGAAAAGTCTAACAAAATATAGGGAAAACGTCGTTTTTAATAACTGCTCGGCAAATTGGACATAGTGCTTTTGCATGAATTTTGTCTGCATGCTTTTTAATATTTATGTTGAAAATATTGCTGGAAAACCTTAAAATCTTTGCATGGAACCATGGCGCAATAAAGAGGTGAAGTAATAAAATAGCTTTCTCGCTTTATCTTTTGACATTCGGCTGCGTTATTGTCGTTTGTGTTATTTGACACCCCCCCCTCCCCCCTCCGAAAAGGTGATCACCCTATTACCAGCCCAACAACTAGGAGTGAACATCTATCTAAGTACTCCCCAGCAGAATTAAGTTTAATTATATTTGGTCCAACTACATCTACAGATGAGGAAAGAAGTTTTTCGAATCATTGAACAATTATCAGAAAAGGTAATTTGGTAATAGTTTTAAAAATCATGTAATTTTTAACCGACTTCCAAAAAAGGAGGAGGTTATCAGTTCGTCGGAATATTTTTTTGTTTTATGTATGTTACCGCATAACTTTGGGCCACGTGAATAATACGTCGATAATTCTTTTTGCATCGCAAGGGTAGTGGCTCAGTGGTGGCCCCATACCAATCTGATTTAGATCCGATCATTGGATCATGAAAAAAAATATATATTTTTTTTTATATATATATATTTTTTTATATATATATATTTTTTTATATATATTTTTTTTTTAAGTCGGTTTTTTTTGCTAAAAATTACTTGTATACTGTAGTTTCGAGATTACAGAATAAAACTATTGAAAATTTCAAATAAAACTTCATTGTTTTAGCATATTTAAGAGTAACTTGGGAAAAAAATTTTGTATTGTGGCCAGCCATAGAAATAACCCACGAAATTTTCGTTGATAAATTTATTTATTGACATAAATCTTTTTTTATCTCCTCATTGAAATAAGTTAAACTTATTTTTCTGGAGCACTAATACGTCATATGCTTTTTTTTTGAATACTGATGCTGCATATATTTGCCTTCTCTGCTACATAATTAACGTTTCGAATGAACTCGACTATTTAAACAAATCTCAATTCTAAGCAATTCTGTTCTTTAGCTAGGCCTTGTAATGGATTCGCTATCGTTCTATTCTGGAAGTCGCCATCCTTCACCTCCATATAGATTACGTTCGGACAGCTGGAAACAACCGTAGTGTTGTTACTCACACATTGTGGTTTATCTTCAAGATAATCTTTGATGCATTCATCGATCAATCGAGTAGCTGCACCGATCAGCGACCAAGTCGAACTGAAATAGGTGTAGGTGCAGCTTACCGCAATATCGATGCGACTATTCAAACCGCAATCTGATGACTGCATAGCCGTTGCGAAATTTTTACGATTATTAATGGTATAAGTGTTGGCTTTGGAAATCTGAAAATTTACTATTAATTATTATTCCATTCCTCCACAGTATGTAGTTGGTTTTATTCATACTCACCGCGTTTGTGACACAAATGGTATAATTAAACGAAGGATTACTATATAACTTTCCACAAGCGGTAAGAGCAGATTTTAAGTCGTTATTATAGTAATTATACAACGTATTGTAATAACTGCTAGGCGTACTGACAATACTGCTCGAGTAGCTGCGCGCATTGGTAATGCAACTCTCAATATTAGCCTTGATCATATCGGCATATGGAATATCACCGCGATACTTTTGAACGCAATACTTCGAAGGTAAACTGAGCACTTCCAGCGGATCGATCTTTTCATGCGTTTCTTGTATTGCGCTCAATAGCAATACCTTTTGTTTTTCCAGCACTTTTAACTCATTCTCCAGGCTGTTTTTGACGTTGTTTATTTGATCCAAGTAACTCTTGAGTGTTGCATTATACTGGCGACGGTTCTCAGAGACATAGTCATCAGTCTTGGTAGTGACATTCCATCCATCGACAGCGCCATTTGCTACTAACTGCGTTTGTGCAACTGCGGCAGCAATAACTTGGCAGACGAATAAAGCACTGATAACTTGTTTAGTGAACATCTTGACAACTGTCTCCTACGTTATAATGGCAATAATTGAATTTGCACTCTTTTTATAGGGAAAATTTTAATTGTCTTCTTATCGGTTTGCAAAAAAAAAATTAATTCTGATGATAAAACACCCTCTTAATGTGATAAAGAATATACTATAGCTGAAAACATACAGCAACAATTGTACTAGATCGTATATACATACATACATACGTCGTTACTTCCTACACCATTTATTATCAAAATAACTTTTAATTACCCCTTTCATAGTATTACGAGTTAAAATGATTTAAAACAGACATAGGTTAGCGTCAAAAGCCGCTGCCATACAAGGCAAGACTTCTTTGGGGGTCTATTACATATGTATGTATTTATCCATGTATGCCTGTTCGGAAAGCAATTAATTACACAGCAGTACATCAAAATTAAAAGGATCAACTTATGTACATTGGTGTGTATACCCACTATAAGCTAAAATACATATTTTCTGCCCCAATTTGGTTTGGAGGTTTGAGTAATTATGACGCCCTCTCATTATGGTGTCCCGTCCAAAATTTTTTGATCTATACTATCGCAAGAGGTATCAAAATTTGTGTTATTTTTACTTTCTTTTTCTCTTTAGGAGACTTCAAAGAATAACACCCAATTGTTTATTTAACCATTTCTTAATGTTAATGATTTTTTATGGGTCCCCCATTTAATATTTTGGGGATTTTAGAGGACCCATAAAATATAGTTGGTATTAAAAACTGGTTAAATAAATAATTGTGTATAATTTTTTGAAGTCTTCTAAAGAGAAGAAGCGTTTGCCAATTGGAAAATATTAATTTTCAAGGATTCTCTACAATTTCTACCAAAAAGTGTTTTCTCCCATATAGAATACGAGAAAAACTTCATGATGCGGTAGAGCCCTCAAAATAACACAATTATAAATTTTTACCTTTTTATTAACATGTGTAAGATTGCAAAAATTTGTATACCTCTTGCGATAGTGTAGCTAAAAAAAAAAACTTTTATAAATCAAGAGTAATGAAAATGTATGCAAATGACATACTATATGTCATCTCTCTTACTTCTTTACTCATTCCACTAAGCATTAGCATCAAGAAAAAAAAAAAAACTAAAGAACCGAAATAAGTTTTTGTGTTTTTTTTTTATCCCTTGTCAAGTGTGGTTTGGAGACTAAACAATTTCGGCGTTATGTCATCTTCAGTGTTACCAAACCAAACTTGACTCGGTGGCGGAAATTCGGTTCAAAATAAGAATACCCCATCCTCTTAAATTTCTTCTCCAACGCCAAAAAATTCATCGACAGCTTTATCCTCTGGATTAATTTTTAAGATTATATAGTGCTTATCATAACTATACGACACCCACATAATTAAAAGTTTTGACCATTTATTTTATTATTTGTTAATTTTAATACATTTTTTAAATAAAAATGTAGTTTATTCTTTAACAAAAGCTATATAAATTCAATTTTCAAACTTTGTTATATAACATTAGTACAATAGGATCCCAATGATCTTTTTTAGTACAACTGTAACTTGTGATTAAGAAATAAAATATGTTACTGTTTAAAATTAATATGAAAGACAAAACCAGGAACAACAAAAAATTACAAAATCTGTAGAAAGTCACATCAGATCAGATTTGTAGCCCAATCAATTTTAGTATAAAAAAGTGCAAGCTTGCAGTAGTTAGGACTTAGCGTTGATATTTGGAAATTTTTTTGTTGGCGGTGTCAGTCATTTTCTTCCATGCAAAGTATGTTCTACAATTTATTTATATGAATAAAATTAACAACAGTCCACCAAAGTCCCAGGTATTTCAAACTTGCACTTTCTTACACTAAAACTGAACTGCCTACAAAACTGAACACTCAAAATATTTTTAAGATATGTTATTAAAAAACTGTAAGATTTTATCAAAGTTTTTTGACTTTTAGATTTATACCGTTTTGTTAAAAAAAATGATAATAAAAATGAAAAAAAAAATGCGAGTGTCTTATAGTTAGGATAAACACTATCGTCGTCATACGATCTTCAAAAAAGGGGGACTTTATTTCGGGGTTTTCTAACAAATTATAACAAACATTTACTCCAGCTTTTGCTGAATGGCAAATAAATGCTCTGTGTACATTTTTAGTGCGTAATTTCAAAAATGCCAAATTTTGAGTTGTGTCACTTTTGAAGCTCGTGTGCGTTATGTATCTAAAAACTTTAAAGCCGTTTTTCGCAATATTTTTTTTTCCAGTCATGACGTTCTTCCAGCAAGCGAGCGACATGTTGTTCTTTCCTTTGTTATAAATATAACGAACCTCTTTTTATCCCTCTAACTATGACGCTGTTTGCGGAATTGAGTGTTTTGTGACGGTGCTTGTAGACTTATGGGGAAGCACCCACTTGAATTTAGTATGATTAGAAGTGTTGATACTGGCGAGGAAGTAAATTTTAAGATGTTGATACAATGATTAAAGAACATCGAAAATGCAATATATGGCACCTATGTACATTTACCATGTATATACTATACCGTTGCCACTTTTGGTACTTTTTTTCGTCAGTTTTACTTTGGTACCCTTCTCTCCAGGTTATATTCTTGAAAATTGGGTTAAAAATTTTACTTCTAAATGATGAGTGGCCTTATCTGAAACTCAATGTGGCCATAAAGTTTTTAAAGATTTATAGAATTCCCTCGGGGGTGTTTGGGGTCGCTGATTATGAATCTGATCATAAATTTTTCGTAATCAAAAGAATTCAAGTGAATCCAATAACTTTTCACATTTTTTTCCGACTTATTGGATCTGACATATTGAATTTCGAAAAATCCACTCACCATTTAAGGGTTAATAATTTTACGGAATTACCGAGAATATAATCGATATCTTTTTTTTACTTTTACCAATTATGGAGAAAGCGTGAATGAATTTTTAAAAATTTAGCTGACATATTGGATCCACTATTTTGAATTTAAAAAAATTATGATCATATTCCAAATCAGCGACCCGAAAAACACCTCACTAACAAATTTCAAGTGAATCCAATCATTTTTAAGACAATTACCGATTTTCTTTACTTTAGCCAATTATAGAGAGGGGGCGAGGCTTCAGTTGCCGAAGAATACCTCATAGGTACTACATACAAACTTACACACATACCTCTGCAAACATATCTAAACTAAAAGTACTTGAAAAGAAAGTTTATTTATTACTAGATAGTTTAGAAAAGAAGCCCTTTCCAATTCCGTATCGATTCATACCCACAATGTAATAATTCATTTAACTTTATAATTAATTGAACTGAATTTAATTTTTAAACAAGTTGTAACCCTTTGCAAAGACCTAAAAAATATTACAAATGTTCAAACCAAAGATTTCTTAACTCCAATATGCTGAAATCACACTCTCGAGGCATTTCAAAAATTTGTTGTTTGGCGTTCTTGTGCGTTATATTCGGAAATGGTTTGGGCTGTATTATTCACATGAACTGATCATTTTGTACTGGTAACTTAGAAATAGATATTTTTTTCTTAATGAAAGGTACGCTGGGTCTGATAACGTCCATGCAAAGTTTCATTGTGATATGCAGAATGACCAATTCGGTTTATATGGGACGTGCCACGCCCACTTCTCCAAAAGCGCCCACTTTTCTACATGTGTATAGTGTTGATTTTTCATATACCCATACCGAGTTCCACAGCTCTATCACAAATACTTCCAGAGACCTGCAGTCTATATGTATATCTGATCGAGAAAAAGCCTACCCTATATTTTAAGTTGGGCAAAATTACTCCAGCGTGCAAAATTTCATGTTGATCGGTTGAGAAGTTAAAGCGTGAAAGCGTAACAAACAAACAAACTCACTTTCGCATTTATAAGAACGGTAAGGATATTCGCAGCCGCTATGATGTAGTCGTTAGTAAGTTATAGTCCATTTCCACCAAAAGCTTAACTGCAGTTAAGAGCTCAGTTAAGTTCCAATAATTTTAACATAGGGTGATCGGAATGGCTTACTTCATATTCTTTGCTTTCTGAGAATATGAGAAATTACCTCCTTCGAGTTGTAATCTCTTTTTCCAATAGGAATAAGCTGCGGTTAAGGCTTGGTGGAAATGAAGTACTTATTACTTATGGAGAATTTGTAATCTTTTTATTTCATTAAAAAAATCGTTTTTGTATAAACAAAAGGTACTGTTTAACCGGAGCTCTGGTATGCACATTATATTTTTCCAGGTGGCAACAATTAACTCTAAAATAAGTTACTTAACTTTTCAGCTTTCATAGGTCAAGGTAAGAAATTCATCTTGCAAGCTTTGGCGGGCCATATCACACGAATCAAACTAATCTTATCTGGATAATATGTAGATACGTATGTACGTATGTAGGCAATAATATATTTAATGCGTATATTTATGTAAAATCGCAAAAATCTATACATAGAACTGCCAGTATTTCATTAACCTTGATTTGGGCTTCCCCGTTATACTTATACCCAGCGCATTTTTGAATGCGTAGCAAATATTAAGTAACAAGCTATGTGTTTCCCCTTAACAAACTAATTGCAAATTCGGGTAGGCATTAGGTACTAAGTTACAACAAAAAAAAAATATTAAAAATAAAACTTACATTACTCAAATTTTCCGAGCAAATTACTTATTCCATTAAGAGGAAAAGTATTATTTTTATTTTTTATTAGCTCTAACGGGCACTTAGGCTTTTACATTTGGGGCGTTCCATACCAAAACGGACGGCGTTCAAACTTCATGTGTTTGATTTGTTTCAAATTTTTAGGGTTGATGCATAAACATAAATAATAAATACGAAATTTGAGCTGGTTTAATATATTTTTAAAAACTATACAGCACAAAAACAAAAACAAATCGATTTAATAGTCTTCCAAATATCTCGAGAACGGGGCGATGAAAAATTTGGAAAAAAATCACACACATGAAGTTTGAACGCCGTCCGTTTTGGTATCACTTATCAAAATGCTCTATGAAAATAAATATTTAAA